CAGATAGATGACATCCACCGCTCTGCCCTCATCTATCCAGCTAGATATTCCTTCGTAGAAGGTGATCAGGTTAGTCAAGCAGGATTTCCCCTTGGTGAATCCATGCTGGCTACTCCTGAGCACCTTCTTCTCCTCCATGTGTCTGGAGASARCAGMCAGGATGMGYTGCTCCRYCACTTTCCCAGGGATGGAGGTGAGGCTCACTGGCCTGTAGTTACTATCCTTAGTCCTGGCAAACTCGGTGCCACCTATGTGAGAAAGCCCTGGGTGTTGATGGATGCAGCACACTGACAAAACTGCACGGAGGACTTGCTAGTTTTATTGCTGCTCCGAGGCCAAAGCTCTCCTTTCGCAGTGGTAGCTACTGCACATTGAACTAGAGCTTTTGATGGCATTTTGGAAGGAAAAATCAATTTTGAAGGTGATCTTTCAAACACCCAGTAAGCCTAGCTATTTTCAGCAGACTAATGAGTCTTAGAAATGAACTGCATTTTCTTACCCCCTTCAAATTAAATCCAGACAAAATCCACAATGTGAAAAGGGGAGATTTTACCATTATCTTCTGCGACGTGTTTTTCATCTTTAGCATGATCCTCGTGTTCCGTGAGTTCTCGTGAGGCGCAGACTTGTTTCAAGCCCAGGAAGAGGAGGAGGATGGAAGGGACAATCTGTGCGGCCACAGCATCTACTGCAGGTGGTCGGTTCTGCAATTCCATTAGGATGCTCAGTCCTATGATACACATCTTTCTGTCATGGAGCCTAAAAGAACACACACTCRTTAGACAAGAAACAGATTTCCACTGCATAGATATCCCGGAACCACAGAATGATTAAGCTTGGAAGGGATCTTTGGAGATCTAGTCCAACCCTCTGCTCCAGCAGGGACACCCAGAGCACAGGGCGGCATCCAGCCAGGTTTGGAAGATTTCCAGGGAAGGAGACTCCACAGTCTCTCCGCGCAGCCTGTGCCAGGGCTCTGTCACCCTTACAGTCAAGAAGAATGCAGAGGTAAATAATATCCTTGCTCCACTACTATACACTGCTTCAGGTAAAAGTTCTGGTACTTGCCATGGTAGAAGACACAGACAATATCACAGAGACCACCAGTCCTAAGCCCATACTCCAAGTTACTAAATACCTTATTTCTTTTGTTCTAAAGGCAATCTCTCCACTGGAAAGTACTCTACCTGATAACAATTACATATGTTTTAAGCACTGGCCACATTCCTGCGACAATTGTTTGCAATTCCCAAATGCAAAGTTTGTAATGCTAAATAAATACTAATGAATATGTAAATTACTTTGTCTTTAGCAAAACATTTCATAGAGAATCACAGAATCACAGAATCCTTAAGGTTGGAAGAGACCTCTAGAGATCATCCAGTCCAACCCCCCTGCACAGGCAGGGTCACCTAGAGCATGTGGCACAGGGCTGCATCCAAGCGGGTTTAGAAGATCTCCAGAGAAGGAGACTCCACAACTTCCCTGGGCAGCCTGTGCCAGGGCTCTGGCACCCTCACTGTCAAGAAATTCTTCCTTAAGTTCCTGTGGAACTTCCGATGCTTCAGTTTGAAGCCATCTCCTCTAGTCCTATCTCTGGCCACCACTGAAAAGAGGCCGCCCTCTCCTCCTCACTGCCTCCCTTGAGGACTGATCAGGTCCCCCCTCAGCCTCCTCTTCTCCAGGCTGAACAGGCCCAGCTCTCTCAGCCTTTGCTCATATGGCAGATGTTCCAGGCCCCTGATCATCCTGGTAGCCCTGCGCTGGACTCCCTCCAGCAGCTCCACATCCCTCTTGTCCTGGGGAGCCCAGAACTGGGCACAGTCTCCAGATGTGGCCTCACCAGGGCTGAGTAGAGGGGGATGATCACCTCCCTCGACCTGCTGGAGACGCTCTTCTTAATGCACCTCAGGATCCCGTTGGCCTCCTTGGCCACCAGGGCACACTGCTGCCTCATGGTCAACTTCTTGTCCCCCACGACGCCGAGGTCCCTCTCTACAGAGCTGCTCTCTTGTTCAGTAGTATAGAAAATTTATTCACATTGGCTTACAGAGGAGTGCTGTTGCAGAGACTGAAATCAGGGAATAGACTATCAGTAAAGAGGAAGAATGCATGGAACTGGAGGGTGCTGTTACGGGATAGCTCAGGCCTTGCTGGACTTGAATACCTTTGGGAGCAGCCCATCAGAACAGGCTGTTATGCATTCAGTTTGTGCCACTAACTTGAGGCACTTTGGTAACTCCAGTGAGAGCAGGGAACAACTTCGACAGTGTCAAGAATAACGGGCGACTCAAAGGGGGAACTTGCAAACAAGTAGAGTCCAGGAAAACAAACAAACTAAGTATAGGAAACAAAGGGAGAGAAATGCATGAAGTAAGCAGCAGAGTGATTTTTACATGGTGATAGACAGGGAAAGGTTCTCTAACTGTTTTTATAGATAGTCTTTGGTCCTACTTCAGGCTACTGTGTCCAACTCTTCTCTGACTCTGCGGTTATTTTACTACGAAGGGCTTGAGAGGAGATTGTTTTGTTGGAACTATTTGATCGGATGCTGACAGTTTCCGTGCAACTCCTCTGCAGGAGAACCTGCTCCAGCAAAAACGGAGGGAATGCAGGAGGGAAGTAAAGCTCCAGAGGCACCTGCTAGGCACACTCCTCTCCCACTGCACCCACGCAGGCACTGGAGGATCTTAGCAAGTGTTGCATCTACGCCTTATCATGGCACTGCTAGCACAGCTCCAACAGGATGGGGCAGCTTAGCAAGGCAGCAGCAGAGCCCAGGCAATGTTTTTAAACGTTTGCTCCCGCTGGAGACTGGCCACCCTCCYGGCCCTTGGCACAGCTGGTTTGGAAGGAAGAAGATAAAAGTGGGGAGGAAACTATGAAGATGTGCATGAGAGCCCACACTTACAACTGAAGCAGCAATCAAATTTACAGGGGATTAGATAGCTTAAGCCATCATTTCAAAAATTAATATAGAAATGCAATTTTTAAACCCTTAGAATTTCATTACCAAAGGTCCCCTACGACACGCTTGCTAAATTATAATATCCAAGATATCAGATATTACATCTTCCTGAACTCCACATGTGCTGAAATACAGCCTCAGGATCTGGCCAAATTTCACTCTGCCACCTATTCTGTTAGTCCTGTTAGGGCTTAGTGAAATGTTTCCATTCTCAGAGTAGCTGACAGTAACAATAAATWATTTAAGATCACACAAAGCACTGTGGCCACAGAAGTCCTTCCAAGAAAAAAACCAATGCCCCGTGCATTTAAAGACATGTTTGTCATGCTGAGTTTGGCTGCTGCCCTTCATTACATGTACTGAAAACACAGCAACCTGCGCATGGGTAAAGAGGGTCCTTCCATCACTGCTAACTGCAATATCCAAAAACGTTTCCTCTAAAGGAAAGCGGCAAAAAAAGGAAGGCATACAAGTGAAGGAAACTGAATCGAGGGAAAAGCGTCTCCTTTCCTCTTTACAACAGAGTGAAAATAAATTAATTCAAAGGAATTAAAGCCCTTAGTCATCACAATTTACCTGAAAACAAATGCACCGCTATCTGCTCACGTGTCCCATGCCAACACTGGGAAAATTAAAATTCTACCTGCAGACGATGCTACCTGTGAACACAGCACAACATTTTTGGAACAGCTCAGCCGACTGGAAGGACTGGAAGCACTTGCTCCACCTCCTCTCTTGGATAGGGTCCTTATATGAGTCTTACCAAAGCTCTGCAATCCATACATAGGATTTCCATCCCGCATCTTCACACTGGGAAGCCATGAAATTTCTTCAAGCCCCAAATGTATAATGAAGCAAGAGAGTAGTTACTGTCACTTGGCATTACCTTTTATAAAACGTTTGAATAACTTACAGGCATATAATGCCAATTCCTAAATGCAACACGTGTCAAGAAATTGTAGTAATCAGAGGTTTAACTTGATACTAAAGGGTAGCGAACAAAAGTGGAAGACAGGGACACTGCTCTTTGAAGGGTCATCACGAGGAATTAGCTCAACTGGCCAACAAACACAGCTTATTTGTCACACTTCATTTATGGCCATAAGCTGGAGCATAGGAACTTCCGTCTCCAGGTGAGGAGCAACTTCTTTCCTGTTAGGGTGACAGAGCAGTGGAACAGGCTGCCCAGGGAGGYTGTGGAGTCTCCTTCTCTGGAGGTCTTCAAAAMCCRCCTGGATGCCGCYCTGTGCCACATGCTGTAGGTGTGCCTGCTTGAGCGRGAAGGTTGGACTAGATGATCTCTAGAGGTCCCTTCCAACCTTGAAGATTCTGTGATTCTGTGATTCTGTAATCATCTAAATGGAGAAGTTGCAAGAATGAAGACAAGCCTTTGGAGCGTGCACATTATGAGGAGGCCCAGCAGGGCCACAGAACTCGAGGCCCCAAGCCATCCTCAGTGAACCTGAGCCAGAGGGAGACTCGTTTCTTCCCCCACGTGCTGCTTGTCGGCACACGCAAGCACACAACAAGCATCCACCTTGGCAGAAGTTCAGCTGTATCATGTACTAGCAAGAGACAACAAGCAAACAAAAAACCCTACGTAATTTTTGTAACGACAAAGGATGCCTTCAATCCACCCGTTCCCTTGCTACCAAATGCCACCATTTCAGCACCCTTCCATCTGCATGAAGGATACAACTCCCTTCAGAGCTTAGCATTCAAGATCCCTACCTGCCTGCCCACCAGCAGGGAACAGTCCTCCCCAGCAGTCGTGGACTCTGCCTGATCCCTCAGGGCACGTGAAGCCTGAACAAGCAGCCGCTGAGGCCTGTGTGGCAGTGCAATGCACCGCTACAAGGCAAGCTCACTTGTAACAAGCTGTGTGTGGTCTGCACAGGCCACAGGACCTTTTGGAGCCAAGAGGCGTGTTTCAATACCAGAGGGAAAGATCCAAGAATCTTTTGTATTTTAAGCTGAGTTGAAAGTGTTTCAAAGGGAAATCACTAAGCCTTCCCTTTACTGGTAAGCTGCGCGCCTTTTCTGTGAGGATCAAGTTTCTTTCTATTACACCAGTGCACTTCCTAGACAAACTGCAAATAATTAGCTATTTCCTTCAAGTTACAAAGTTGGAGCCAGCCTGGCTTTATTGTGTAAGTTTGGGATTTTATACCCCATGCCAAAGAAGGGTGGGATTTTCAAATACTTAAGCTCCTATCAACTAAATTTTCTCACTCATTTTTTTTAAATCCTTTTTTGTTCAAAACAAAATTTAGGTTTTCCTCTCACCTCAATTTCCACAGAATAATTTCCAATATAGAATAAATCRTGCACAAGTTCTGCCTACAATTCAGACTCTCGAGGAGAAAGCAAAATGAGGAGTAAATGTTTTTACAAGTGGCTTTTCAGTCTCTTATTTGCCCTTATTCAATTTGAAGTAATTATAGGAGAGTTAGAAATAAGTACTGTGTGCTGGGACACAGAGAACCACTCACAGATGTGTRACATCCATGATGACATGCTGGATTTCTGCACAGTCTTATCATGAGTTCTGAGCTCTTCTTGCCTAGTTTATTTCTAACATTCCAAATTTCTAAACAGTTTTAACTAGTTTCCATGTTTTGAAAAACACGGAAGAACAGATGCTTATCTTACTGCAATGACTTTATTATTATCACATGTATTATCCACGTGGATTCCATYTCTGGAGTGCAAAAGTTCTGCTAARGAAATCTGGGGCTCTTCTGGCCAGCACTGCCTGTTAGCTCCAACGTGAGAACTTCCAGACCAACAGACAGGACTGCCAACCCTCAGCTCCTCTGTCAGAACAGGATCTGTGGATCCTAGGATGTCACAGAAGCAGAAGAAGGAGAAAATGGCGCGAGATTCACATGGACCAAGTACATTAAAGAGCTTCTGCTGCTGATAAGTCACAGGCAGTCCGCATGGCTGATAAAGACATTAAGACTCACCTCGTCCATAAGGCTGGAGGTRGATTTACTTGGCTCTTCTCCAGTTTCTGTAGGACCTGCAACTGTGTCAGCCGCCCTGAATTTACACTTAGAACCATCTTTTTCTGTAAAGCAACCTAACTCCAAAATAAGGCAGCCATGCCTGTGGTGGGAGAGACAAATGATGTCTCAAGGCAGGGTGCCTGTTAGCACTGATGCAAATAGAAGGTCTGCAGCAGAGGGCCCAAGAAATGCCATCAGGAAGGCAGATTTCTTTCTCAGCTCTCTCCTCCCGAACATTTAGGCCTTACGCTGTTTGGCTGCTGTTCACATGACAACTCTAAAATGTGAGGGTCATCTAGAAGGAGTCCTGTCCTGAGGGAACCAGAGACAGCTATATCACATCACAGCTCCTGATAAGCAGTACTATGGCGAAAGCCCTGCACCTGAAAGCTGCACACTGAGCAGGTGGCTCTGAACAGACAGTGATGTTGGGATTCAAGCTGCATCACAGACAATTATTGTGCTGCTGGCAGCAGCACATCAAGAGAGAGACAGTGGCCAATAAGGCTCTGGGCCTGCATCAGGAGCAGTGTGGCCAGCAGGTTGAGGGAGGGGATCCTGCCCCTCTTCTCAGCTTTGGGGAGGCTCTACCTGGAGTATTGGGGGCAGTTCTGGGCTCCCCAGCACAAGAGGCACATGGAGCTTCTAGAGAGGGTCCAGTGGAGAGTGACAAAGATGATTAAGGGACTGGAGGCTCTCTCTGTCTTATGAGGAAAGACTAAGCGAGCTGGGCCTGTTTAGCCTGAAGAAGACTTGGGAGGGGATCTGATCAATCTGTCTAAGTACCTGAGGGGAGAATGTAGGGAGGAAGGGGCCAAACTCTTCTTGGTGGGGGCCAGTTATAGGACAAGGGATAATGGATAAGCTGAAACACAGGAAGTTCTATCTGCACGTGAGGAAGAACTTCTTAACAGTGAGAGTGACAGAGCCCTGGAACAGGCTGCCCAGGGAGGCTGTGGAGTCTCCTTCTCTGGAGATCTTCAAACCCGCCTGGATGCCGCCCTGTGCCGTGGGTGTCCTTGCTGGAGCAGGAGAGTTTGACTAGATGATCTCTAGAGGTCCCTTCCAGCCATAACCATTCTGTGATTCTGTGATTTTAATCTTTGGCTACTGTTCAGCTGGCAGTTTGAACAAAATGTAGCATGCTCATCACTGCATTTCATTTTTGTAGACTTGTCAACTTTCGTCTTAGCTTTGAAGAAGGATTTAGTTGAACAGCAAATGTAGAAAGTGATGCTTTTTCCAAAAGCAACACAAAAAGAACTGAAAGTTAGATTGTAGCTCACAGGAGTATRTAAGGCTAAAGTCTATTCAAGTCTGCAGCATTTTTCCTCTCAGGACTTGACTAGCTTCTCAGTGAATGCTCCAAGATGAACTGCTTAAGGCTTTCAATCTCTTTCATTTTCAGAATCCTTTTAAAAAGCAATGACAAGTTTACCACCTATAGGGCATTTGTTCTTTCATACTGTCTCTGTATGCTTTAAGTATTTACATTCAGTCGAAAAATGACAGCCTAAAAGGCTAAATCTCAAGAACTTTGCTTTAGTCATACAAAATTGGTACACAGAAATCTCCTTATGCTAAAAAGTCATGCCCTTTTCTAAAGCCACTAGATGTAAAAACAGTTTGAAAATTARTAGCAACAGCACACAAAGTGTGTGAGAGGCAGAAATAAGGGTGCCACTTTTCAGGCACTGATGCCTCWAAAGAACTGAGGGTCACTTCTAAATGCTAACAGATGCGTTTATGTTAAGATATGAGGAGCTACATTTTCTATACACAGGAGAGGTCAAAATGCTCTGCTCAAAATGCTCAATGGTAATAATATGAACTGTCCATCCTGGTTATAGTGAAAGACAGGATTTTTCCTCTCACTTTTTAACAATTTTAGTACATTTAGTTCAAACGAAGAATGTCATGGTAATACCTTCAAATTCAAACAAGCACGGGGATCTGCCCCAGAGCCTACATGCAACAAAGCAGTTATTTTGCTTCTACTTTCAAGGAGTCTTATTGCTAATAAGATCATATATACTGCAAGTCTACACACCGCTTCTCTATCTTAGAAGAGGGAAGTAAATGCACTTTCACACAGTACATTTGGTACACATTTTTAAAATATCACAAAGGACACGCTGAGAGCAAGATCCAAGCCTACTAGTTGGTCACTGATACATTAGATAATGCTACCCTGTACCACACAATGCAAAACCAAGAGGCACTAAGGCAGCTCTACCAAGACAGTGTGTAATTCTGCTCAAGAAAGGAGAACTGAAATAAGAAAGGTACAGAGAAAGGCTACTAGGATGACTGGGGAGCGGTGAAATCACTCTACAAGAGGCCCACTAGGGCCTGTTTGACTTGTTTCGAGTTGGGAGAAACGAGACTGTGGCAGCGGAAAGGAAGGACGAGCYAAAGGACAAGGTGCGCGCCCTCGGGTCAGGAGCTGCCTCTCTGGGCCCTGTGCTCATGCACGGCACGACTCCTRCACCAGACACTTCACCGAGTACGTTGCCCTGCACAGAGAAGGCACGTCCTACGCCCGCCCACACATCTGCAGCCACACGTCATGTCTCCCRTGAGAAAACACAGCTCACAGCAGGAAGAGCAGGGCTGTCGGCTACACCTAGCTCTGCCTTGCCCAGAGTTGCTTTGCAGCTCTCACAGCCAGGCCTGTCCCCCCAGCTGAGGGCCAAGCACTAACAGTGAAGGCCTGGCCTGCAGGCCCGCACAGCACCCAGCGTGTGGCGGCCCCGCGGCCCTCCCTCCACTCTACAGCGGGTCACTTGGTGCCTACACGCACGCTCGGTCAGGGCACCCACACAGGCACCGTTGTCCTGAGAGCACTTTGTGCTCAGGAGAGTGCAAAACAGCCAGGGTGTCCAGGGCTGACGGAGAAACGTGGAAAAACTGACTCAACGACTGGCAGAGATTAAAACCGGAGCATGGGGTTTACTTTCCATGGAGGGAAAAATACTTTACACATTAAATGGCGCAGTTAAAAACACTTCAGAATTCAAAACAGAAAATATGTATACATAATATTTGAGAAAAAAAGGTTCATGTTTCTCTTAAACCCTGCTGGTCAGCTCTGAATATTACCGTCAGGCTGGATGATCTCTTGGAGAAGCAGACAGTTCACAACTAAAAAACTGACCAAGAAATTTATTTAATTTAGAAATTTCTAATTTCTAAAGAATTTTCTAAGTTTTAGAATTTCTATATTTTAGAAATTTCTTAAGAAATTAGAAAGAATTAAGAATTCTGATGTATACTATGCACTGCGCTCTCAAGTGCTTCCTCGCAGCACAAGAAATTCAGTGTATAACTCAACAGRGACGGAAAAAATAAATACCCATAGGTTTATCTTTAACTACATCACAGCAGTCAGACCTTGCTAGTGTGAGTTACTGTTATTCAGACTAACCTAGAAATGAGAACTCTTGAATCAGGATAACTAGGAATACAAGCTAGAAGTGAACAAAGTCTGTGGTTTTGATTTTTTGAAGAATAAAACCACAATACTTGCCCAAGAAAACAGTCTGTGTCATTCATCCACTGGTTTATGAACTGTGCAGTGATGGGCTCGGGGTTGTGTGGGAATCTGATGTTCTCCAAGGTGTGCAGAAGCAGGTCAGGATTGTAGTAAAGTGCAGCTATGGCAACCTGAAGACACATGGTACGAAGCTCGCTTGTCTTAACTCCCCTGGTTAACCGTTCCAGAACGGCCTCCACGAAGAGTGGAATACACTAGGCATCCAATTATGAGGAAAAACAGCAGAAAAAAAAAATCAGATTATATATCCTGCCAAATTATAGACAAAAATAAAATACACCTCATCAGAGTTAGATGAAATTCAGGCATATCTTAAGAATGCATTCTATTAATTTCCAATTCTCAGTGTATTAAGCCTTGGATTTCATGCTTGTAAATGTCATATGTTAAAGTAATTTGGACTGTTTYCTAGAATATGAGTGCAGAATTTAGCGCTTAATAAAAAATACATCATCTGAAGTGTGTTCTAAGTATCTCCATTGTGATATTCGTTCTCCCAGCAATCACAATCTAACCACCCTCTACACAGGAAGTTATTTATTTCCAAGTGCACAGGATAATTCAAAATATTAAAAATGGCCAAGTTCATATTTCTTGGAGAAATAATCTCTGTAATTTGATGTGTACAATTAATTTCTCAGCAACAACAGACAACAGTCTTAATACTTGCTTTACATCAGAGGGAAAATCCTCTTACAAGGAAGAAGGAAAAGACAAGCAGGCACTTCACACCCTATCTTTGCATTCCAGTCATACCCACTAATCTCTAGTATGAAAAAAACAAACAAACAAACAAACAAAAAACCCCCATATTTCTACATTCCCTCAAATTCTCTACTTTCAACTTCTTTTCTCAGGAATCATATCTGTATCATCAGAAACTAGCAAAAAAGAAAACGTGCTCAATGTTTATCACCTGGTCAATACCCCGTCCTTTGCACTGAAGAACAATCACCTCCAGGAGCTTGGCAGCATGGCACTCTGCATCCTCTCCTGCATCTCCTGTCAGTACCTAGCAACCAAATGACCAAGCAGTTTATCAGTGTTAATCAAAATCAGGTTTCAAAGAAAGTGCTCCTGTACCTCCATAGACATATACTCAAAACTCTACCTGGCACCTATATATCCATCCACAATATATTCTGCAATGAATTTAAAAACATAAGAAATCATCTCCACAAGACACAAACAAGACGACACGGTTGAAGTTGAACTTAAAAATTCAGAAGAAATATCTGTATCTCTTTATAAACATTAGTATCTTTTAAATGCCCTTTATCATCTTTCCTTTTTTTATTTTTTAAAAAATGCTACCTAAAAGAATCACTACCATTTACTACATCCTGTTTTCATTTTGTGACTTCAGCTCTAACAGGCACTGGCAGATTAACAGCCTGGCAAAGTGAAGTCTTGTCTCTAGGCTAATTTCTGAGTAAAAACAAGAGGCATGCAAGCCCTCCATGTAGATGTGCAGAAGTGTGAAACTGCCTGCTGCTTCTCAGCTCATTTCAACCTCCTGGCCAGTGTCAATCAAACCTGACAAAGGAGTAGAACTCTCAAACACATTAAATCCTCATAAAGTTTTTGAAATTAAGCAGGTGGCTGGATGCAGAAGACTCTCTAATATCCCAAATCAGAGAAAAGCTGCAGTGTGGTCTCATACTTCATTACACATGAGAGAGCCAAGTATRAGAGAGAAACATTGCAAATGTAGGAAGAACTGCAGGTGAGTTTGCACCTTAGYGGGCAATTAGAGATACAGAACCCAAGGTAATCAGGCCTCCTGAATTGCTCTGCTTATTGAAGTAGCTGCTTGGAGAACAGAGCCAACATTTGCAACAGCACTGCAACTTTTCCCCACAAATGTTTATGCACATACTTTCCTACAAAATACGTCACTTAGAAGTCTGAAAGTGCTCAGTCTACTTGAAATTCAGTTGAGACAAAGCTTCATTTTGCTCTGACATCATCAGCCACCACCTGGCAGCATATTCAGGTCGCTCTATTACCCTGCGTGACTGTTAMGCACCACTAGTGAGCACAGCAACAGCAGCAATAGCAGCAACATGCAGGAGTCTTACCTTCTTACACATGGTGTAAATGATTTCTAAATTCTTTGGGTTAGACAGAAGAGTATCAGTGTCAACGGTCACATAATTATGCAAGAGAGGCATCATATCTGGGGAAGAAGGAGAACAAAAACAGAAAAAACTACAAGCTAATCCCTAAAAGTGCTAGCCAATGAGGCCCTAGCCCCATAATGTAATTCATTAGCTCCAATTCAGGGATATAGTTGGAAATTCAAACTTTGCAAGTCTGTGCTACCAAAATCCTTTTTAAGGTGCTCTCTGCAGGATGCTTTTTCCAAATAAGAAACAGAATAGGCCTACATTTATTTAGTGAATTTACAGATTCATTTTAACTTTGCACATATTAGTTTTCTTTGAGTTCAGGACCTTCTACAGTAACTGAGTAAYTGACAGATTTGAACAAGTTTCTCCCAGCTAAATATGTTCTTGTTATACTCCCACACTAAAGAGATGGTCAGGGCATGATCACTGCAAACCAGGACAGTAGATGGAAGTGACCCTTAGAAGATGGGATKTGGAGATGAATCCCAAATTGCTGAAATAGCAACAGAGTAGAAGCATTCATACCTGCAAAGTACTCAAAGCAATCCTGCTGGAAAACCTCATATAAAACACCTAGGAGCTGCCACATTTGGGGTGAAATCATCTGGCACGTCAAGCTGTATGCCAAGGAGAGAATTTCTTCATAAAACTCTGGAGAGGAGAAACAATTTAAAGTAGGGCACTGTAAAGGAGAAATTCTACTCACAAACACCACAAATTCTACTCAAATGCAAGGCCTCGGTCATATAGCAAATAGAAGCCAGCATTTAATAGGTAAATCAATATGTAGAAAAATAATATAAATTGGAAAATATTCTTTTAGAGAGRCCTCATGTTAGCTATAATTGCAATGTTATGCACTTTTTCATTATAAATGGAAAACGGTATTATCATCACACTAAAGCCTACTTTTAAAACATTTCTTGCACAATACTTATATCATCTCAATTTTTTTCCTAAAGGCCTTATCACAAAGTGTGCAGCTCTTTAATACAGGAAAACGATAAAATAGTAACATAATTGTAGAGTATATCCATAAAACAGCAATTTAATTGTAGTCTTYGCCCTTTAACAGAACTAGCCAAAATTATAATTAGAGCTGCATCTTCTACTTTAGATCTGACCTCCAATACATAGAACTGACCTGACTAGTTTGAAAGAGGAGGTCAGGAGAAACAAATCATAACTGACTTTTTTTTTCTTGTAAAGAAACTGCATTAAAAAAAAATAAAAAAGGAGAGATTAAATTCTCTGGACAAGACAACAGGACAGTTTGCAATACTTTAATTTTCTATGTAAGGATGTCTAAGGTTTTTCTATATATTAGTTCTAGAAGATACCTATAACGTGTTTCTGCAAAACAAGGCCAATGATCTGTAAACAAATGCTCTCCAGCTGTTGAGTTATCTGAAATAAAAAATAAAGCAGCTTAGTAAAATATCTAGAAAGAGTAATTTGATCCATATATTTTACTAATTCCATCTAAGTGAGAAGTTCCTCAAAAGCAAAGCTCTATCACTCTCTAAATAATGCTGTAGTAATCACAAAAACATTAGGAAACAAGGTCTTGCTAAGGTAAGTACTCAAGTATGCAATAAGCAGTATTACTTCAGAGACTGTCGCTTACAGTACTTTAATATTTCTTAGTTAATTGTTATTCTACAGATCCTATTGAAAACTCCCTGCTGCCTTGCCTGGGTACAAGGCAAAGGTAACATCAACACTATACTGAAAGCATTTGAGACAAGACCTCCATTCAAAACCTTTGGAGAAGAACGGGTAAAAAAAAAGAAGAAAGGAAGAGAGCTTTTCGCCGTAGGTCCATGGAGAGCTTCCCACAGCAGGCTCAGCAAGGGGAACCCATGCAGAGTACAACTGCGCTAAGAAAATAATTTGTACTTTAATCAAACTATTCTTAAGATTGTAAGCTTCTTTAAAAGATTTATTTCAGAGTTGCAYTGGAAGTTTCTCATCGTAAACCAAGGAAGCCAAACAAGCTTTAGTAATTTATGTCAACCAAGCTCAAAGTTACTGACTGTGACTCCTTGATCAGTCGCTGAACTCCCTACCTCAGCCAAACATGGTGGTACGAGCTGAAAGCATCAGTCTCAGGAGCCAGGCAGCAACCCTAATCCAGTGCTTTCTTAAACAGCGAGTTCAAAGCGGGCGGCTGCCTTCTCTAGTAGCTTCTCTGAATAGGTGAAATGTGGATTTATATTGAACCACAACTGGGAGATCCACTGCTATCAAAGTCTATCCCAGCAACTGCTGGGTAAACAGCAAAATATGAGTCACTATTACCCAAAATTTCCCTAATACAAAAGTGTTTCTCTCTAAAATTTTATTTAAAAGTCTGTCACAAGTTTACCAGAATCATTGCTATGGATTTTACTACYCTCAGGAGAAAAATTCCTCTCAAAGGTGAGGATTAAGCAGTGCAGAAATCACAAATGCAAAGCGAGCTTACAATTCAAATTTGTCATGTCATTTGCTACTAACTCACCATCCCATTTACAGTACATAAATACTCATGTCAGTTCAAGGGATGAAACACACACATAAAACTTGCCTTTTATCATGAATGAAAGGAAGATGGAGCAGCAGGATGAAAAATGTATAAAAAAATCTCACCTCCTTGTGGTCTTCCACGACTGTCAGGATAGTGTCAATTGTGTGCAAGATGCCCATGGCCATAACTGTTTTGTCCTCCACTTCCTCATACTCCTCACTCTGAAGTACTTTACCAAATATTTCAGCCTAYGAAAGAAAAGCAACCAACCTGCCATTCAGGAGTCAACCTACTATTCTAATTTGTCATGCAAACCAAGACAGCAAATAAAAAGCAGTAATGCCTTATCCATAACCCARCTGTCAGTACTGGAAAGTATGAACCTTACTTTTGAAAGCAGAAACCTGGCTCTGTTAAGTCATTCATAATGTTAAATGATCAGAGTTTGGCTCATTAAAACCAAAGACAAAATGTAGCATTTCTGAAAAACTTACAGGTTTTAAAGACATTTTATATAGCAAATATATATATATGATGAGTAATATATATGAAATCTTTATAAGAATCTCTTCAAACAAGGGGCATTTCCAAAAGGAAAAAAAAAAAAAAAAGAAAATGTTTACCAAACCACTCATGTACTTATGACTGATGTGCTACTCTGTTGTCTCTTACCAGGTGTTGCGTCATGTCAACAGCGATGGTAGCTACCTCTTGACTGTACTCACAGATCATCTTCTGGATGACATTAGTAAGATCATCATTCTCCGTTTCTCTAACGATGTGCAAGAGCTCTTGCATAACTGGCCTCACATAGGGCTTCACATACTCTTTGGCTGAAACGACAATCCAAGTGAGGTGAGATCAACTGTTCATAAAGGGCACCAATACAGTACCTCAAAATCACCAAGTGCCTGACTACTCTTGAATAACATCATCTAACCAAAATTACCGGACAAATAAACAATTATCCAAGACACTTTTGCAGTCCACAGTCAGTAAACTAACAAAATAACTGTATAAATTGGACTTTCACCATATCCAATACTGAAAAACAGAAACAGGTATTATTTAYTCTGTAAAATAAAACACCTTGAGGTCAGAATTCTGAGAGGAACACAGGAGCTAACAGGCAAGTGAAGCTGTCTAAACATGATGAAATGGTCAGAAAGCTATGCCTTTAAGAGACAGATATGTTTAAATATATCTGCACCAAATGATAACACACACACACACACAAAATAATCAATGAATATAATCATATAATCAATGAACCACTTGATCTTACCTTGCTCCTGGTTGCTTATTAATGTTTGAAGAGCTATTGCAGCTTCTACTTTGACAGGCATTTCCTTATCTTCAATCAGGCTCTTCTTTGCCAGCTCTACTGCATTCCTTAAGTTTAGCTCATTGTGGAATTTCAAAGCACTGAATGAATGAAGAACCCAGCAGGACTGCATTGCAGAAAGAAAAGCAAGTTAGGAGCTACTGCAATTTCCAGCATTTTTAAGCTCATTTCAAAATGATGCTAATAATCTCTGTTTACATGTTTTTTGCATTCTGAATTATGATATATGCATGCAATATCAAGTAAAACAATTTCTGCATTCAAGCAGTTCTTTCTTTTCCTTCCCCAAATTGCAATATATTCCGTATGTATAATTGATATTCACAGCTTTAGTCCTTCTGGAGAAAATCTGAAAGGAAATTTAAGAAAATTAACAGCTTATTGTTATGGACTGATATGGACATTCAGGAATTTTGCCCAAGCTACGCTTAAACAGGTAGAGCTATCCCAGGTGGGATCTATTAATGAGAAATATGCATAATGGGGCCTCTATAGGTCACCACACCACCACTGCTCAAATCTTCCAGTCTCATCAGTGAAGTGAATGACACAACACAGACTTTCTTTTAACTCCTTTAACGGAAAATCCATTTTTWAAATCAAAATTTAATATTAACTTTATTATTTTTATTAATTTTATAAATATTAATTTAAATATTACTGTCCAAGTTCGTTGTCTGAGAGTATACTATGTATTTGGATTGCTTTATTTCTTTTAGTAAGATTCAGGAAAAAAAAAACTACAATGGAAAGAATCACAGCAAATACTGAAATCAATGTATTTGGGAACTTACTCTAGCTCTGAGGTACCCCAGGTTAGACATGAACAATGGAAATACGTGATTCTGTAGCATCAGCTCCATCTGATCCTTGAAAACACTCTTCTGTTGATGTAAATAAAAAAATRATTTTGTAGACTGTTCAACTTACATACTCCATTTTAGCCACTAATCTATTTTAACCATCTTGTTATTGGAAAATACAGTGGTTTGTAAACCTACTAACGGTATTTTGCCTCAAGAAGAGATCTACATCTCTCACCCTGAACTGAAAAAACACTGCAACATTGCAAAGATAGCAACTYAAAAGCCCAACAAGTGAAGAACCTTATGTAATATTGAAATCTATATTACTGTTTATAACTGGAAATGTTATTTTTTTCTAACACAACCCGATTCCGTAAGATTTTTGCTCTTAAAAATGACTGAGGATCAAGCCTAGTATTCCCCATCCTCCTACAAAGGAGTACATACATAGCTGAAKATAAATAGAGGCTTTAGTTTGCAACAAAGCTGAGGTCCAAATGCTCTGCTGTAGCTACAAAGAATAAAAACTACCATGCCACACACTACAACAATAACTTGCATCTTTTTACATACTAAATGGTCAACCAAGTTAATCCCTTTGTGACAGAAACCTCCTCAGCTGCAGAAGGACACTCAGTGAAAACTATTCCTCATTATTCCACCCCTGGCAAATCCCAAGTGCTCACAGAAAGCCTGGACCACCAGCATAGCGAGGAGGGAGTTTTTCAGCACCTATAGCTCCAGCGTATTWGAAAGGATGTATGCTGGGCACTGTGTTACCATGCAAAGGTAAACACCTAAGACACAAAGAGGGTGGAAGGGCACAGACAATACAAAACGTATCTTAAGTGATCACACTTGTGCTTCATACATCGTACATCAGTTTTTCACACCTGGATTTCCAACCCCTTCAAGGAGGCAGATGAAAAACTGGGAGAGAAAAAAAAAAAAACAGTACAGAGAAGGGAAAAGAAATTTCCCTTCTGCACACAGGTTAGAGATTTGTATGCATTAAACTGGAGCCTCTATGGAGATGCAGGTGGCTAAATCAGAGTCACTGTGTGTAGAAGCTAGTTACAATCGCTATCTCACCAGTCAGAAGACACTTACAACTCAAATATTTTATGCAGAAACAGGTCACAGAATTTTTCTGTCTGACAAATCACAAATACAGGAAACTCTCGGAGYAGAGAGAGGGAGTGTTCAGGAATTAATACTTTTCTATGAAGTGTATTATAACCTCAAGTTTCAAGGTTGAAAATTTCAAATAGGAGCAGTATACTGGAATAAATCTCCCTTTTTCCTCAAGGCAGAGATAAATGGATATAAAAAAAACCTTTCAACATGAAAGGCTCCTGGCAACAATGTCTTCCTCTTCACTGTCACCCCAGCAGGGAGGGCATTTACATTGCAGTGCCATCTGCAAACATTTGCAAAAGATGTTCCAGGATTTCACATGAGCTGGTGGACAGGTACATTGGTAAAGAGGTAAATGCTGGTAATCCTTTATATGAATGCTAGCTGATGCATTCTGCACAGAAATAAAACTCACATAAATTTTTTKTGTGTGTGTATTTCCAAAAGGAAGCCTTCAGAACAAGGTGTACCATTCTCAAAGTGACAGCTTTTCAGCATTACTTTTGACACAGAGAGTACCTTGGACTCCACACTGTACAGAAGCATTAAGGAAACTGTAACAAACATCTTCCAGAGCACAGGCATGGATTAAACGCATATTCAAACACACAAAACACGCAACCCTGTGAAGATACTGTGATAGAAGGAAAGGAGGAAGGACAGAAGCTCTGTGCTCCTTCCACTTTCATTTACAAAACTCTCAACTGGCTGACACAATGAGACTTAAAGCCACATATTGTGCGGCGAGAAGGCTGAAAACCAGACAAAACATTCCTGCAATGTGTTAAGTAAACATTTTCCTTGAACCAGAAGCAGCCCACAACAGTGTAAGCTGTTGGGTTTTTTGCTAAAACATCATAAGCAATGTCACTGGCGGAATGCATGTTTGTTTTCTTAACACSCTTCCATTTTCCTAGTAAAGCAGGAGAGGACAAAGGGGCTGTTCCATAGCAAAAAGAAGTAGAGTTTTGGAGAAACTTGGAAAAAAAAATGGGAAGATAAAAAAAGAATGTTAATAGTGTTAAGGCAACCAACTGTCAAGTTCTTATCACACAGTGCAATCTCTCTACAGACTTCACAAATGCCACAAAGGGCTAGGAATACTTTATAAACTACCTTTTGCAGGGGGTAGGAGGTGGAAGGGAATTGCAGCTGATATCAAGACTTATAAAAYAAACCTATTTCACTTCCTCATCCACTTACCTTCAGTAAAATATCAGCTAGGGATCCTATCACATGCAAAGCTCCATCCTTTCTTCTTGGATCGATGTTTGGCTCTGTCAGAATCTGGTAGCAATACGCCATCATTTTTGGTAACACCTATATACAAGACAGAAAACACAAGATTTCCTTCTGTCAATGAGGAACCTAAAGCAAAGTATTTCAATAACATTGTTTTAGTTTAAAAGATTCATATGATTTTCACAAGTAAAAATTTTAACTTGGTCCAAGTAACTGTGAGGTAAYGTTTAGCATGCTTCCGTAGTTAAAATTTAAGAACATTTTTTCAAGCTTTTTACAAGCTTCTCTTTCAGCATTTCACTCATACTTGTCCACATTRAATTGTAAAATTTTGTCATATTTATGCATCTCTGTAGGAATTAAAACAGGGAGATGAAAAGGCAAGGACTGTTTTGACAACAGAGAAGTAGAAAGCTCAAAGGCTATTCCACCCGACATAAAGATTAGGCTCTTCTCTGAAAACTCATTGAGATTCAGAGCTCTGTGCTTACTGTCTAACAAAATGGCATGCAGAAAAAAAGTTAGCAGCTTTAGCAAACTGACACACATGTTTCAGGGCTCGGCTGACTTCCCTTTGCACATATCACTGTAGGTATAGAAAGAAATACAGAAAAGTTAAGTCCTCGTTTACAGAGCAGCTGTATGAAATTGGTTTCATTCTTACTGATTTCACTGCTGTCAGCACAATTTTAAATAGCATTTAATTAGCAAGGATCAGGTTCATTTTTCTTCCTGCTCCAGTTAGGGAAGTTGGGCAGAGCCGTGACAGAGAGGCTGTTTGTAAACTTGGGAAAGCATCACTCCCTCTGTTCCTGCTCAGTTTGTATCTGGCAGGTCAACTGCTCAGGTGCCAGAGGAATCCTTTGGTTTGTTTGCTTGTTTACATTTTAATTCTGCCCAAATTGTTAGCCCTCAGTCAAGAAAGCATCTGACTATCCACTAGCAAGTAGTTTTTTCACAAATACTTTCCTATAGCATCTTCAAACTTAAGAAAAGATAACATTTTTAAGGAAACTTAAAACCATTAGGAAGGATTGGTTCCATACCTCTTTTCTCTTCTTTGCTGCAGTATAAAGGAGGTTCTGTGCTGCTGTTGTAGTGGATGCATAATCTTCAAACACATCTAAAAAAATAACAACAGAAAAAAAGTCTTGTCACTGAATATAATATAGCAAAGAGCAGGAAAATTCTGATAAACATTTTTGAGTTTCTGGGACATCACAAAATCATGGTGAGGTGACTGTGAACCTTCAGAACCTCTTACAGATGTTTTCACTTCACGGTTAAAGAGTTTGGGATCTAAGTTCAGATCACCTGCAAGAAGCATTAACTTCTTGCCTTCCTGACTTACTGACCACTTGTCATTCCCATTTTTATTTATTCTTTAGCTCTTTTGAGAGTATGTATTTAAGAGAGGAGAGAGGRAAAAAAGCCTTTCTTTTTAATTAAAACCATCATAGGAGGAATAACACTGCATTCCAGTGCCATYTGTATATCATTTTGGCTTGATTCTATTAAAATCTCATGGGAAAGTCTTAGTATGTAAAAAAATATTCTGATCTGGGAGAATTTTAAATTTGCTGAAAGCTGAAGCTTTTTACTTACAAGTAAGCCTCCTTTAATCATACTGAAACTATAATTTGTACCTTGAAAAATAATAATCTGTGCTGCCAAACACATTCTAGCCCAAACATCTCTCCACAAATTGAATAAAAAAGCTAGAAAAATGATCTCAAAACGTGGCTGAAATTATAGAACAGTTTTCTCCTGAGATTTTCAAGATGAAATGAATTTTTTTTWAAAAAAGGAACTTATACTACTGAAATTCTTCTTCTAGACAAAAATATTGAACTTCAATTAAATGTGTTTTCAGTTTTTTACCTTCCACAACAATTTAAATCTGTATGTGCCTCAGAGAAATAGGATTGYTTGCATAGAAAGAACTGAATTCAGATACTGAAAATCAGTTCTGTATTTGTATCTCAGAGATGAACACTGCATCTCAGAGATGAACACTGTCTTGTGATCTATTATTTTTCTATAATAGCTCTCCACATTTCTAAAATTATTCTATGAACACTTAAATTCTCTTTTTACATATCCTAATCAAAAATCAAGTAACTAAAAATTCCCAAATACTACATGTCTCTGGTGCTTGGCTTACTGCAATTTTCCAGTTCAATTGCTGTATTTTAAAGTCTGATTCTCTTTTCAATGACAGAAATTCTGTAGTATAAGTAATTCACAATATGGTCCAATGAGGTATTCCCCATTTTGGGGGCAAAATACTGCAAACATGAGCAATTTTGAAGAGTGAAAGAGCAAGTCAGGCCTCTTCTGGTCAGAGAGAGAGCTGCAGGAGCTTGTGGACAGCAGGCACGCCGGTGACAGGTTAACAATTCCACACTCCAGAACTGGTACTGCCAAGTTAGTCAGCCAGTCTCTTGGGCTGCTTTAGAGACTGAACACATGTGATGTGGAAAAGCTGCTCTCAGAGGATCAACCTTCTCAAGAGCACTGGACAAAGCTCACTTGGTCTGTCTTCTTTTAACTGCTAATGGGTGAGACTTAAGAAACACATTCTCTCCTCCTACTGTTCATAAACACTGGTGAAGACAGAGAAATAACAGTGGTAAACGCAGGCATCCCATGACTGGGACTATAGTTACAGTGAGAGGAGAAACTAGGTGGTAAGTGGCAAACACTTACCAAACTTCATGCGGATATATTCATACGGATCCTCTTGCCAGAGTTCTTCATCCTCATCTTTGTAGCACATTAGGGAGAATATCACATCTTCCGTTATGCTCTAGTATTAGAGAAGTTAAATACATGTCAGTACAAGAAAATCAAATTCCAGTACAGCTTCCCTCCACTTTTTCCCTCCTTGAACTTTTTTTGAACAGTGCTCCTTTATTTGGGCTAACAGAGATAATATTTTAATACACATGCCTGCCTTTTGCAGCAGATCTAGGCAGCAGGAAGAATGTAAACTGACTTTACTATAATCCAGTGCCACGCATAAAATACACTTCAGGACATAGCTCACAATCAGCAGAACACAACACTTGCACAAGAACAGGTTTCAATGATACTCCCCTTAGCATTCATGGGACAAGGGAGTTTACAACATGAAAAAAGTATAAAAATTTCAGAATATTTCAGAATATTTCAGAATATTTAAGGTTGGAAGGGACCTCTACAGATCATCTAGTCCAACCTTCCTGCTCAAGCAACCTTCCTGCTCAATCATGTTTTACTTGTTCTTGCACATACTAATTATGAAATAAGTGTTTAAAATTCCTTACATTTCGTGTTTCTTTGCTCACYATCTTGCACTACGAAACACTTAACAACTAATAAAAGCCAATCATTATGATTTTGTTGCACATTTCATCAAAAAAACACCAGAATCTTTATTTCAGTTAACAGTATTTATAATAAATGGTAGTAAAACCTAACCACAGTGTAATTTGGAAATGTTAGTTTTCCCTAGATTGATTGCTGCATGAGAGATTCATGAAGCTGTCTTTAAAACAYCAAAGACCCTTTTTGTTTGTTTGCTTGTTTTTAATCATCCTGATGGCATTCAGTGTTTATGATCAGGTTTTATGCACTGACCTGTATGTGTGGCTTCATCTGCTTCCATGTTACAGAATGAATGACTCCTTGATTCAGGTAATTCAATGTTTGTTGAAGGACACGTGGAGCAACATAGTCTTTTTGTCTGTATTGGTCTAGGATTTTTAAGAGAACCTAAAGAAATAAGAAATTGATATTTTTAAAGGAAAATCACCAATTATGTCTTATGCATCCATACGCAGTGGATCCCTGCTGTGAATATGCAAGAACAGATGCATTGGTTTTACTGCAAGATAGTCTTGCAGGACCTTTACTTATGTTCTTATGTCTTTACCTTTGCTACTCTAAATAATCCCACAGCGCGATCACTTGCTCTTCTAAACCAAAGATACAATTAAGCAGTCACAGACTGACAGTCCACGTATGCCTCAGCAAAAATAGAACAGGTAAGGAAAAGGCATAGGCAGAAAATCTCCAAGTTGGCATGCCTATAGTTTGGCTTCTAAATCTATTAATGGTGTCTTTATTCATTTGAGAAGGATAGGTCTCTAAAGAAGATAAATGACTGTGGAAGAACAAAGATAAAAATAGAAATACTAAGCTAAAAGGGAAACTAGGTTAGCACCTAAACCTGTTAATTAGAAGAGATGCCAAAACCTTAAACCCAGATACTTTTGCAATAATCAGACAGAACTAGCTAGCATCCTACCACAAACCCTGTTACACAAGCTTTCTTTATTATAAAGGTTTGCTACACTAAAAAATACCACAGTACAAAGTCACTAATCTGCATATGATAAATTATACATGTGTTAATAAAAACACAGTATTGGCAAGTACATGAATAGCAACAAAGAACAATGCCTATCAAAATATTCCAAGGGAACCTATTTTCAGAAGGACAATTCTGCTTCAAAGTTCTTCCCAGCACTCTAACATAAACCTTCCTTTGAACATCACGCCTTCCCTGGCATTCTGCATCTTCTCTTGGTCTTTTGTACCACACATTCCTTGGACACTGTCTGTATCTGATACAGACTCTAGCACAAGGTGAGCRCTTAGTAAGTGGTAAGTAAGTAAAGAAGGCTTCATAATGTCATCATGCTCAGCAGCACTGGAGCTCTGCAGAGAAATGTAGTGAATCAGCATTAGGATACATTTGCCATGTATCCTAGCCCTCCAGCAGAAGTAAATTTTAAGTATTTCAAATTAGCATTGCCCATGGGAATAGTTCACCACTTAGGTGTTAACCACTGCAAAGAGCTTAGAAAAAAATAATGACCTGTTTCCCCTTTCTGCTTATTTCACACTTACAGTCTTACCCCAATCATTTCTCTCCTTCTTTGGCTCTTTATCATTTACAAATATCCATAGAATCATGTGCACTGATGGATAATCTGCTTTTTTTTTGTCAAAATGGATGCAGAAAAGTAATTTTCACTTCATCTTGGTATTCTGAATAGTTCAATTCTGACTTCAGGTTACAACAGTTTGGAATCCTTCATAGGAGACACTAGAAATTTAAACYTGTGGAAGGCTTGCCAATGTCATGTCTGCGCATGCAGACATGTGGAATTGTGCTGAGAAGCCACATACCCTGAAAATATAAATTATCTAAAGAACTGCCACTCAAAAATCCRCATTCCCAGGGGTTTATCAGGGTTTGCAGGTCAAAGAAAATCAAGAGTCCAGAACTACGAGCAGGAGAGATTCCTGCCTTCTCCCAGCTTCGCAGGAGCCTGTTATGAGACCGTGTCATTTGTAACCCGAAAGAGTCTGAATGCCCAAGAGCATGAGCCTCTTGAGCCAGAAACCTGGGGACTAGCCCTCCCAGACCTCCAGGTTATAGCTGACCGAATGAGAAACAGGAGGAGCTGTGCCAGAAACACCTGAGCTTGGGAGCCAACACTCTCAGGGGTTCCAGTAACCAATTCCTAAAGTCACTCCAGCAAATCAGGAAGATGCTGGAAGTCTGGAAGCCCAGGTCCCAGGGGCCGGCAGCTGAGCTGGCAGAAAAACACTGAAAAAATCTGAAAGGAACTGCCTCTCTTTGATGCAATCTTATCAAAACTGAAATGTCCCCACTAAATGCAAAGTTTATCACAAGCAAGTATTCCCCAGCAGAAATATTTTTGGTTGCAAACTGTGAATTTATGCTGTATTTTCATAAAACTTGCTTTCCAGGCATATATTAACTTCTRTCGCTGCTCTCAAAACACCTTCTAATCTGCTTCTGTCTTCTAGAAATAAAATAGCCAGGTCAGAACTCAGAGTTCCTACGCTGCATACAGCGTAAGTACTTACAAAATGTTTATACATGATATGAAGACCTGTTTTCTAAGCACTCACATTTTATGGGAATTTACTGCACAGGGTTTTTTTTTTTTTTTTTTTTTGAATCACTGAAAATTTCTGTTATTACATCTCAGTTGAGGATAGCACTAAAGAGTTCTAAAGAACTTCTCAATGACCACCGCGAAAATTTGACCGACTGTCCAGTGTTGCTTCCTGACTGCATTTCTRTATGAGTGCCCGACTGAAAAATAGAAGTGCATTCAGAAAAAATAGAAAATTCAGAAACAAATTAATAGTTCTTACCTGTTGTATTCCAACAGCATATGTTTTTAAGAAAAACTCAGAGAATTCAAAATATTCTTTAGTTACATTTCCAGGACTTCCATACCTTTAAAAGAAGAATAGAGGTATTTAGACAGTGAGAAATCTTCTGTGTCAAGAAATCACAGCCCTTTCCAATATACAGAGCACCCTGGGCAGCCTTCTATCTGCAAGGAATCTTTTCTCACGAATATGGCCTATTTCTCACAAAAATGGCCTAGAAGGCTAGGCCATTATCTCCCACACTGTGTTCCACTTCCCTYTTCTTTTCATAGATCCTCTTAGAGTACAATAGTATAGCCAGGTAAATACARATCCCTTTTTGTCACAAGATACGTAACTTCTATGCTTTTGGGATTCCTTTTCAAACCTTGCAATGCCTTTGGACTTGATAATGTAGGCATTTGTAGGTGGCTACAGAAAATAATACCAACAAAAACTTGTACTCTTCTCGCAAAGCTAGATCACTGTCAGCTTAGAGAGCCAAATCTTTAAAGTAATTTCTCATACCAGCAGCTGGGATCAGTGTAAGGCAGAGAAAAGCAGCAGGACTACCCTTTTGGTGGTGATGAGCTCTTAAATAAACTTAGCTCTAACTGTACCCAAAGTACATTAAAGATTTACAACCCCAAGATGATTTTTAATCTGTTCATTAGCTCATTACCGTTCAAAAAGACGAGCTACAATATGCAATGCCCACTTCTTGCATTTCCACCATACCAGCTCTGGCCTGTCATCTTCGTCAATTTGCAAAGTCTCCTATAAATAAATATATTTATTTTTAATTAATTATGTGCATGCTTGACAGAAATGTTTCAAATATTCCTTACCTCTGTGTAAATCAATACAAATTCTTAGTATTCAGTAAAGCTTTGGTTCTATGAACATTTGTAAAACTCTCAGGATATTTTAATTTCTTATTTGGACAATAGAATTGTGCATGTGCAATACCCAAACAATGCCCATACTTTTGATTTTCAAAATGATGGACCTCGAAAAAGCTAAAACTCTCACATACACTTAAATAACATACAGTAGTTTCTACTTTTGCTTAAAAATCAAACATAATACTATTACCCTGAAGTTACATACCTGTATCATATATTAACACAAAAACTTTTAAAATGGTGTGAAATATACTTCTAAACCAAAATCCAAATATCAGGTACTACACACAAATGCTACACACACCTGAGAACTGAATTACTTTTTTGTTGTTGTTGTTGTTCAAAAAAAGTAGAGAATGGTTGAAGAAAAAGAGATAAGAGATGTGTTTGTGATGAGCTTTTTCTTCTTTTTTGAGAGAAAATGATTAAAATCCTTGGAAACTTCTAAAATATCTAGTACTGGAATTATACCTTATCACTGCCTAAGGTATTGAAACTGTGACAAGTCTGCATGATCTTCCTGCATTAACATCAGAAACAGCACAATAAGAATCTTGAACTCTTAAGAATCTAGAGAGACTGCATCTTAAAAAAAACACTTATAAATCTTCGCACTGATTGGTCTTTATATGCCAGCACCCAAGTATTAAAAGTCTTTAGTGAAGCAAATCTTACAGGAGGCACATTTCTATCAATGATAGTACGGAAGATCTCCATCCACTGAGTCATAGTCTGGTTATTCACCAACTGGAGTGGCAATGCATACTGAAATAAGAAAAGAAAACAGTCATCAAATACCTTTTTTTTTTCTATCTCTCTGATGCCTCTATAGATATTTCTAGTGTAATTACACCCCCAGGAACACCAGGTTTTCAATTATGTTTCTATTAATTATGTTTTCAATACTTATAATTATGTTTTCAATTCAATTTCAATACTGCTCTAATTGTATCTTTCTTAGCATAACTGACGGGAATTTCTGAGCAGACAGTATTTCTGGGAGTCTCTTGGCCTGAGAACCTACCAATTCTTTTTGTTTCTTTCCCTTATTCATAACGGTGCAGCTCTCTTTTAGGGACCGCAGCAGTGTCACATGGTTTTGGGAAACCAAAAACATTCYACTAAATGGACTCTACTTTGCATGACTAGCTAATAAATTTTATTTCTCTACAAAATCCAAAGCAACACAACAACATACAACCAAATGTTTAGAAAATAAAATACAACCTTTGTTTCCCTTTAATCCTTCTCCTATATAAAAGCAATTTATTGTAGCTTTCTAACTCTCAGTAAGATCTTTCTGGCTGCTCCTTATACCTATGATTTATTCTATTTCTTATTCACTAAGAATATCTCCTTCACCAAAGGAGAGTCACCATCTCTGTAGAAGGTGACTCAATATTTTCTGTATCAAATTTTTAGAAGAGAAATGCCACCTACTGAAGAGCAGCCCTACTTGACAACTATACTTTAATATGCACTACTGGCACTTTCAAAGGCTAAGCAGCAYAAACTAGGTACTCATATATTTTCTATCAGGTGATATGTGCTGCCAGCTTTGAAAAAAATAGCAACATCCCTCCAGCAAGCTCATAGTCAGAATGTGCATAAGTATCTAGGTTCTATAAAAATTTATTCTGGAGGATCACATGACCAGTTTCAACCCAGAAAATCTCTAAAGGTCATCTTTTTATACAAGGTATTTATTGCATTTTTTTCTCCATTAGAATTGGTATTCTTATTCAACCACAACCTGAGGGGCACTGAAGGGGATTGCTGTTTCCAGCAAAGTAAAACTTTGTTTTTAATGTACCCAGATGCCAACCTGAACAAGAGCATAGAAGATCTTTAAGATTTGTTTCTGAAGCAGTACAGAGTAATGGGAGTTATCAGGCAGAAGCTGTATCATCTGCTGCTGAATCCGAGGCAAAAATAGCTGCATTGCTGCTATGAGAGGATCTCGTTCTTCCGCTTTCTTGTATCTGAAAGAAAACAAAAGTATCACTCAAGGTTTACATAGAAGTTCTAGAGCTTACTCCCCACCAGCAATTTAATTACTATACCCTAGAAAAATTAATATCCAGCACTCACTACATCACTCTCCCCTACTCCAGCTCCCATCTCACAGTTCAAACAATTTGTGTAAATTCTCTAGCCTATAATAGAGAAATTCAAACCAACAAAAAGTTACCTCATATAAATGCACCTACTAGAAGGAAGGATTAATGTTCTTTGCAACTGGAATGTAAGCTCACAAGAGCAGGGACTTGACATTTGTATCAGTGCATAYGAATACTGGATCATCCATACTGGATGATGAGCAAGGAAGAGTGAACAGCCTTTGAAAGGGAAAGACAACTACTTTGTCTTATCAAGATTCACCCTTTGTCCACATATACTTCTTTTATACAGTTTCTACATATGTTTTTAAGACCAAATAATTTTAAAATATGAGTGAGAGGGCTCATCATAGTTCTGCTAATGTACGCTTGGCAGATGTAGACCATGAGGAAAATGGCACAGATAACAGAATGAAATAGAACTATGTGATGAAGTCAGTACTACGTTCATGACATGAACGTAAAAAGTGATTGGCATTCATATATCCAGCATCTGGGGGACCCTCAAACAAAAGAAGTTTTAAACATTAAAGAAATTTTTCATAGGTACTCAAAAATTCAAAACTCGAGAAAAAAAAATGTCAGCAAACTTGCATAAATTCTCACTGGACTCTTTGTTTTCCCAGATGATATAAAGAAGATGAATAGTCTTAATTTATTTGTAGCAAAGGAAACACGTGACAATTATTCCCGTTCTCCATGTGAATTCCTCRTAGAACTGCCGGTGCTCTTAAGAGCTTCATTGGCAGGAATCAGCCCAAACCCTAAGCGCTGACTCCCAGGACACAGCTGGACAGCAACTTACTCATAGGTCTTCACCAGCTGATAGAGGCACAGGAGGCTCCCCAGCCAGCTCGCACTGTTCTGAGACTGCAGGTAGTAGCCTATCTTGTCCACCACAGCCGTCCAGTGGCCAGGAAAGTCATGCTTGATGATGGCTCGGAGGCACATGGTCAGCTGGGCTCTTGGGCAAGAGGGAAACAAAAAAGAAAGACACTGTAAAGTAAATAAGATTCCAATTAYAGGGGTTAATTGATACTAAATCCTGGTTTAATGGGTACATTACACATATTATATCACAGGTATCACACACATTTTGACAGTGCTGAAAGCATTCTGGGAGATGGCAGAGGAAAAATCACAGGGAAAACGTGTGCCAGAGGACTTAACTTTAAAGAAGAAACGAATTCTAGGTTATTTTAGTTACTTTTTCTCTCTTCCTCTTCACTCTCCACACCTACCAGGCAGTAGTTAGAAAAATAATTTGCTTATAAAACAAAGCCTTTGGAAATTGTGTTTCTTGCCAATTTGATTTCTTTCCCCTCTCTATTCTCACAAGCAGGCAGTAAAAATACCAGTATCACAGCATGATACTAGTTACAATAAAGTTTCTTGGCATTTTCACCCATGTGGCAAGTCTACAGGCTCTTATACAGTGTTTAAAAACCTGTATTTCATTTAAGGTGATTTTCAAAGTTTTCAACAATCCTTGCAGATATCGATTGTCCCTGGAATGTCAGGTCATTTTCAGTACAAGGTTGTGAAAAGATGTCTGGACTAACTTGACAAAAACTCCCCACACCTCCAGCATTTTGGGTTCTTTTAAATGAACTCAAATATCTGCAATTATGATATGATGATATGGGAAACTATGGGTCTTTACTACATCATGACACAAGTTTTCTTACACTGCAGCACTATCTCAGCACAGAGCAACTATGTGTTTATTGGGGATGCTAGAAAGTGTAAGTGTAAAGTTAGAAAGTGTAAGAAAACCTGAATTGGAAAAGATGTTTTAGTTCACTATCTTGTTCCAGTACGAAACCATCTATAGCCCAAGMATTCCTCACAGGTGTCTATAATCTATTCATAAACACAAAACCCTTCAGTGACTGAGATTCTATGGCAACCTAACGTATGAATAATTCTTCATTCTTCTTTATTTAGAAGGTTTTCCCTAATTCTAATTTCATATGTCATTAATTTTCCTGGTAAGACTGCTGGTAAATAAATAAATAAATAAATAAATAAATAAATAAATAAATAAATAAATAAATAAATAAATAAAGGTACCACATACCAGGGCATGTGGCAAGTGGAGAGGAGGAGATAAGATTTTCTTCTGTTTTTCAAGGATGAACATTGATACAACAGAGACCAACACCATGACTCGTTTTATTAGAGCACTGAGCAATCACTGCAAGTTTGTAAATCTTAACTGTTCCCCCAATAAAAGCAGAGCAGCATTTCTTCATTTTTCTAACATCTTAAAAACAAGAATGCTAAGTGCATTTAAAAAAACTGGGAATACATCCATAAACTGGAAACGCAGTTGAGAAAAGTATTACTAGGGAAAAAAAAAAAAAAAACAGGTTTTGGACAGTATTTCTTCAAATGGATAAATTCTGCATTTCATATAGTCTTCTATTTGCTGCCAATCAGCCAAACAGGCAATCACTAGAGGAAGTTTTAGAAGTTCATTTAATTTGYCCCATAAAATGATCAAATACATCAATGCTCTTAGAATAATGCATTCCTGAAAAATAACTGCATATAAACATGTTTAAAAGATTATTATTATTATTACATTTCCAAAATCAGTACACACTTTCTCTCTCAAGAAATTAAGATTCTCACATGACTATTTTTAGACCAGTAGGTCTGAAGTCCTGACCGTTAGCCACACTTCTGTATAACACAACCTACCTCACAAGGTCAGGAGAACGAATTATTCCTTCCACAATGTTATCACGGATCTGTTGGCGATCGTTTTCATGAATGTTGAACGGAAACACGGCTTCTCCTGGAGGGGGTTCACGGTCTGGCCAGTACTGTGTCACCATGTTCTTTAGGTAAATGGCAGCTAAGTATAAGCATCATGGAAATAATAGTTTAGAATTGAATTCTACAAAATCTCCACATTACAATGTGCTTTAAATGCAGTACAACTGAAAGTATAAAAATGAGGAGAAAAGATGACTGGAAACCATTACAGGTTAACAATTATAAGCACTAGCACACTTAAGTCTGATTAAAAATTGTTTTTATAGACATCAAACTTATTACAGACWTCCAACTTAGGTGCCTTGTGTTAAATAGAATAGGAGAGTACTTCTGTCAACTTCTACCGGACTATTTTCTTCATTACAGCAGTCTTGCATATRGACACAATATTTTATCATTCTAGATAAGCAAACAAAATCCTCTTATATGAATTTTTACTCGGCCTCACAATAGCTGCTCAGGCTCACTAAGTGAAGCTTTGCAAGGCTCATTTAAACAAATCATAGCACAAACAGATAGGACATTTTGCTTGGGGAAATGCCCAGCATGAAACTGGCACAAAGCCGACCTCCTATTCAGACAGAAATGTTTGTTGTAAATTCCCTAAGCTTTATCTCAATATTAGGATTTCCCATAATCCTTTAGAATTGTTCCTGACTATCTCACAGGCAACACCATGAAAAATAAAGTTAATCTTCAACTGAAAGCAAGCAGCATTTATGCCTCAAAACTCTAAAATGTCTGTASATGTTTTTTAGCAAACACAGGAAACATGGTGTAAGATATTAAAGGAATGTTCATAAAAAATGTTATCCCTTTACTCTTCTGGTTGATTACTGACTAGGGACTTAAAATATAAATAAGATATCCTTGGGTACAATCATTTTTTCTTGGTTATGACAAATCACAGAGGATGAAAACATATAGTTTGCTTGTAAAATAATTTATAGTCCAAAGAGGAAAAAAAGTTATTTTTCTATGACACATCAGAATACTCTGATAAAAGCCAAGTCCAGGAAGACTAGTCCAGGATTTTAATATACCRTGTCCACAGAGCATGATGGTATAGAGATTTTTGGCTTTTTACAAAATGTCTATTGAATCTATCGAATGACAAATTCAGTTTAAATGTGTTTTTCTATTTTACATCCTCACTCTGTAAAAATGCTGAAATATGTTATATCCTCTTCCATGTTTTTTTCTAATGAATGATACTAAAAGGAGATTTTTTGGTATTATTTCATCATTTCATTTTTACTGTTTTATGAAAACAGCCTTGCGGATTCTGGATTAAGCATCCAACTTGACCCTGGAATGGTTTAACACCACCATTCAAAGTTGGATTCCCTTTGATAACATACACGCCAGCACGACAAACAGCCCATGTCAGCAGGCCTCAACACACACCCGGGATTAGGAGGATCTGTGCACACAAAACAGAGCTTCTAGGGGAAATGCTTTTCCATAGCATAGAAACAGCTGTGAATGAAGCATTGCTCATCTTCCTCCAAAAGCTGAGTATTTTCTATATCCATAAAAAATGTGTAGAAACAACTAAAATACATTATGAGAATTGAGTCCGATCCTTCACTCGTGTACGCCTTCAGATTGTTACACACACTGTTACTCTTTCTAGAGGTGCTCAGACTGTAGGTTTATGATTACTTTTCACGTGGCCTTCCTTCATATCTACTTTTGTGAGTGGACATCAGAAATACTAAGCATACTTGGGTGCCCTTGAAAACTTTGTTTTCGTTTTTTTATAACTTCTTTTTTTCTCGGAGAAAAAAAAAAAGAATTCAAAGAGAGAAACTCATTCAAACAAGAACAAGGCTTTTTTTTTTTTTTTTAAGAAAAAAAACATCATCTCTTTGCTTTGTCACTGTTCTGAGAAGAAAGCAAAATACCTATAGCTCCCTGGATACTCAGTTTTGACCAGAAATCATTCTCCAGATTCAGTATTACAGTAATCCAGTAGGGATCACTACAAACACATGAAAGCAAAACTCTATCCTACACCCCTCGTTTTATCTGACTGAAAAACCGTTCATACTGAAAAGACTGTTCATACTGTTCATACTGTTCATTCTGTTCATACTGAAAAGAAATGATGTAGAGAAGATGTCCTGCTGAATCTTTAAATTTCCATGGTCAGAGCAAATAGGAAGTTGCTCACATCACAACAGCTAAATGCTCTGTTGTAAGAGCAAGAGACTGACGTTGAAGTAACATAAAATGAAACAAGAATTTCAGCTCACCTGCTTGACGTACTGGAAATTCAACTTGATCCGATACTATGATTTGCAGTAGACTTGGAGCAAAATTGATGATCTTGTAGGACTGAAATACACAAAACAGAGAGCAAATTTCTGTATTTAGAGAGGACTGTATTAGCAACAGCTGAATAAGAAATAYCAACTGAGAATTTTGCACAGTGTTTTTTGACTTTCCTCAAGAAGCAGAAAATGAAGGTTTTGGCACTTGGATTTCCCAAATCAGCAGCATTCCAAATTACTTGTAAAAATAGAGCATATAATGGCACATAGGTGGAAGCAGTAACATGACAAAGCACTCTACTAGAGATTAACCATAGGGAACATTTAAATAATTCTATGTATAATGAGGAGCMCTACAGATTTGCCTTTGAGTTATTTAACTTAGGCTAAGTAAACGAAATGGATATTGACTCATTACATCAATATACGATACTCCTTTGTGAAACAGATTGTGGTTTAATATGAATAGTGAATTGTGAAATGATTAAAAAATACTTGCACGATAACCAAAAAAAAAAAAAAAAAAAAAGGGAGAGGGGCAGAAAAATAGTAGAATCAGCATTTTTAGTTAATACCAAGTGTGGACAGCTAACTTTTCAAAACCCACAACTTCCCTGGCAACTGCTCAAACACCTGATCGGCTGCACAGCTGAAGAACTGCGAAGAGCAAGTGTCACCACTGAACTTCTGAGCAAAGCAGCCACCTTTAAAAGATGTGACAATCTGACAGTCCTGCACTGCTGTCACTCAACAGGGGCCCTCCAACGTGCAGAACTGTTGACTCAGCCCAGCGCAGTTACAGCTAAGCCTTGGCAACATCTGTAGTTACTGGCAGATCAGACCTTTCATCATTTAGATCCATGAGCTTGACGTTCAAGGACAGATGTTTCTTGGGGGCTAGATGACAGAAACTTTCTTGATTTCACCTTTTCAGTATTTCTTTTCAACCAGATTATGCCTGGCAGCTCTTCAGTTATTTCCAGAGCCGCACTGAGAGAATGCTATAGCCCCTCTTAGTGGCATCCAAAAGCTGTGAAACAGAACTCTTTGCATGCCCAGTTCCCTCATTGAGCATTTCCATAGTGAAATAATATCACATGGCTTTCACGATGCCATGAGTGTAACAGCTGCACGGCAAGTCTATCACTCAATAATTCTGTCAAATCACTTAACTTTCTGGCCTTTGCTTTACGCTTTGTAATGAGAGCATAATTCTAACCTACTTTGTGCGCATTTGACGTTTACGGAGCAATCTGAGATCTCAGATAAAAGCAGCAGTGGCAGATCAAAAGCATCCTCTCCTGTAATTCCCTTTTCTTTAAAATTGAGTTGCTCATAAGCACTGCTAAAAATAAAAGTTTTAACTGACAGCACAAGATCTCCATTTATCWATCGAGACGCTGAAATACCAGCTTCAAAATCAAGTGGTTGAAGCATACTGGATTGCAAAGATCATCTTTTAATGAGATACACTGGAGTCCAAAGACTCTCCCTCAACCCTCGCAGGGCAAAATCTCTACAGTCTTGGCACGTTCGAGCCCCAGGCTCTGAGATGCACCCTAGCAGACACTAGCACTCCATGCAGCTTCCAGAGATTTAAGGAAAGCACAGTTTCTTTCCTTCAAAACGATGCCAACATGCTGTCCTCATACCCAATGTGCGCACAGCTTTTACTGCTGTAATTGCATTAATTATGAATGCAACTTTTTCTTTCTTCTGCCATAAACCTACCAGCATTGCATTCAGGGTGAACACACTGCCAGCAGTGCAAATTATTCCCCTTTCTCTATGCAAACAGCTTTTACTGAATCCACATTAAAGCCACAGCTACTCCAGGGTGCTTTATTGCTACCACTTGTGCTGGCACATGACTGCTAGCCCTGAATTTTTTCCAGGATATACACACATATGGTTGTTTGGCCTGCACAGTTCATCTTCTCAGCAGGGGCCTGCTCCGACAAAAGACACATCACACAGCAGATGAGCAGTGTCTCAGGGGAGGCCCCGTTTCTGCCAGCACGCTGCCAGSAGGGCTGCGGCACGAAACATCTGAAATAGCAGCGCTCCGAGCAAGACGGCATGAGCACAGCATCGAGCTCCCACCAAATCCTTCTATCCCACACTATTATCTTTATTTTTGCAGCTTTTAACAATGCCCTAGTTTCCTCATTCATCCTATAGTTCACATTTTCACAAAATACTACTATCAGGAACATGAACATTGCCGAGATCAGAGTTTGTGTGTCCATTTCAGAACCAAGACACTCGATTCTCTCGTATCTGTGAAGCCGGAGCAGCACAACGCTCACTGCTGCAGCCTCGACCCAGGCAGGAAAACTCCCTGCTGCTTGCACTTTTCAGAACAGAGGACTTTCCAAAAAGCTGYGTGCAGCAACATTTTGCCCATAGCAGCACATTCTCACTGAGCTAGTCGTCATGCTAATTGTCAACTTGGGATTTATCCTTCCTCTCCCTTGCTCGAAATCATTTAACAGGCACCTGCGCAGCGGCAACTACAGCTCTAAGTACCCTATGAGCAGGTGCAGAACAACTGCCAGTTGGGCATTGTGTAAATAGGAAAGACAATAAAGAGATCTCCGAGCTGGACCAAGGCACTTATTTGCATCGCAATAGCTGCACGTGACAACATACGTAGTATTTACAAACTGAGAACGGGAGCATCACGGGTCCCAGGAAGGGAAGGTGGAGAGGTGCTGTTTCCAAAAGCTGGCACAGGAGCCACAGTGAGGCACCACATGGCTGGCAAAGCCCTTCAGCCCAAGTCTGGCAACATTCGCTTATCAGGCACCACCCTGCTCTGTATGAGCTGCTGCACCAAGCCATTTGTCTCGCCTTTGGGTTTTAACAATTTGGTAAAACTTTCTATGAATCTTCTGATCGGTGGGGGCATGTTTATTTTGAAGGAAAAGATTAAAAAAATGTGGAAAAATAAACTTTGAAAAACAGATTTTAAAGAGCAGCAGTTATTTTAAAGCTGTGTAAAACACATACCAACTATTCTTGCACGAATCACAGATGAAAGCGGTTACATATTTTTTAAAAAATAGCATTTAATTTCCATGGGAACTAACAGAAAGGGATACAGCAATGTCTGAAGGTAGCAGCTAAGCTGGAAGAGGCACATGGATAAGCACACTGGGTATARTTAAAGCAATGGCCAAGGAAATGCGTGTGTCCCCAGGTGTCCTGTCCCGTCTGCATTCACTGCCTCAAGATCTGCACACTASGGCTCTATGTTTCCCTGCACTCTGCTCGTCCTTTTGCTTTTGGTCTAACTTTTGCTTTTCTTCCACTCCTCAGCATCACAGGTGCATCCTTTTCTGCCTTTTTCCTCTTCCATTTGATCTCACACACAACAGATGCCATCCAAGAAAGCCTCAGATGGGTCACTGAAAAACAGCAAGATGAACACCATTACGTGTAAAGGACACAAGGAGAAGTGAGAAAAAATACATTAAAAATGGATCAAATGGATCCCCAAATAGATCCCTCCACAGCAAATACTTTTCAAAGATAAAATGTCATTGTGGCTCCCAAGATATCATTCATTCTATGCTACTAAATTTAATTCACCGTCTTTCTTGCATCTTGCCCATTGCAGTCCCAAAAGCCTGAAGGCAGCAGATATTCAGCAGCCCCAATTGTCAGTGATGTTCCCCTTGTCGCAACAGCAGCCACTGGGGCTGCCGCAGAATGGCCCAGGAGGGTGTTTCATCCTCTGCTGAGTAACAGCAACCAAGAGGGAGTCTTCTATGCAGTTCTAGAAGCAACGTTAAGACCATCTTTCTCCACCAGCAGTGAACACCTCCTTCTTAACTTCTGAATCCAATATGGCATTAAAGCCATTAAAAATGGCTTTGCAGCTCTGGAACCGAAAAATCAAGGCACTGCGTTTTTGTTCATAAAGATAAATGGACAGGGAAAGGAATGCAGCCTGAATACCTAGGCAATTAACTGCTTGCAGAGATTATTTTAAGGCTTTCATGTATTTGTGTTGAATGTTCTACTATCTGTTTTGCTAAGCTTTATTTTCTGCTTGCTGAAAATATGTTACTTATAAACTCTATCAGTCTTTTTACATTTGGGAATATTTTTGAAGCTGCCAGTAGAATTCCYTCTTGTTCTTAACATTAGCAGCCACAGACAGGTTGTTAAAATAAGCTAGTACTTCCAAGACATTTCTTTGTTTCCTTGCCTACATGCAAACCATTTTCTTTTTGRGGGGAATGGGGAAGCACGCAGCGTTTCCACCCACAGTGAAGATCAAGATGCACAAGATACTCACCTAAGCTTCCTCCTTCTGTGTGCGTTCTGCTTTCGAACTCCTCCAGTCCCAAATAAACTGCTTTTCACCATATTTCTAACATGCAATTAAGTCTGCCCACCAGATTTGTCTCAAATGAGAATATCTGAGATTCCTTTCTCTTGATAACAGTGATGTTTACTAACTCTTCTACAGTGGYCTTAAGAGCCCTTACTACTATGATACCCAGCTTAGCAAAGATGTGGAAGAAATGGAAGGATGTCTAATTTTATTCTGGATTCTGTGTGTTCGCACAATCTCGTAACATCTTCTCTTCTCCCAGCTCTGCTTGCCGGTTCCTGTCAAAGCCAAATTCTGCAACCCCGTCTCAATGTCAGCACAGGTGTCTATATTTCTGCCATTGTGTTCACACTGTCTCCTTGTCACAGGCCAAAGAGATTAATGAGAGCAGGTTGAGCCAATAAAGATTAATATACAAAAATTGCAATGGTAATCCTACTTGAACTGGAATTAGTCAGGGATGAATTAGGATGTCCATAGACTTAGACAAAAATTCTCTACTATATTCCAAGAACTGACACACAGAAGAACCATTTAATAAAAAAAAAAAAAAAAAACTTTTTAAACAACAAAAAAACTCAAGTCCATAAGTCGCACCAAAGAAAAGTACAAGCCTAAAAGAGATATCAAAGGCTTTATATCTTCCTTTAATACGATAATTGACTTGTCTAGTAAGTACAGTGTGACTGATAAATAAGTTGGTCTGAAGTTTAGGAACAATGATGGGACGGACGGACGGACGGACGGACGGACGGACGGAAGGAAGGAAGGAAGGATAGATCTAGAAAATAATAGGCTAACGGAAAAATGACAGTGATCATAGGAGAGAGATTACTGATCTGACAGGAAAATACTAGTGAAGTTTATCAAGAGGCACATTTCAGTTCAGTCCCACACTTGCAGCTATGTTTATGTCACTGAGAGAAGTGACGTCTGATGACACAAAAGTTGCAGGTACCACTAGCAGGGAAAGATTTGAAAAATCCTCAAGAACTGAGACATCTTTAGAACTAGAGCAAGAGACATGGAATGGAATGGAATGGAATGGAATGGAATGGAATGGAATGGAATGGAATGGAATGGAATGGAAGCTCATGCACTTGAGGACTAATAGGGATTCCTACTAAAAGCTAGAGGTWTGTTAGTGAGGAATATCCACAGGAAAATGGTCCTAGAGATATCGGGAGGTAACAGATATATAGACCTTCAACATGAAGAGCATACACGCTAAAAACACATTTATCAAATGAGGCATCAGTGGCATTCAGCATGAGGCTATCTAGAATGCTATCAACATTAGAGGACCAGGTTGGCACAAGAATGAATAATTCAAAGGGAAACAAGTGCACAGCAGGGCTGTGTTGTCGTATAATTAGATTTTATAAATTCAATTTTATGATACGGCAAAGGACACATAGTTTATTGAAGCTAAGAAGATACGGGCTGGTAGGGTCCACTGTTTACTGTATTAATACATTAGAGTGGGTATCAAGGACCAAAGAAACCTTTTCTAAGAGGTACAAGTGGCACAAATAGACATGAACGGACAGCAATAATGGACAGACACAAATAGATAACAGAGTTCAACACTGCAACCGTATCAGGGAGTCAGGAGCAGTGCAAGAGCAACGCTGAAGGACTCTCTGGTTTGGTTCAAGCAATGGACTGTCCACACAGAGATTAGTACGGGGAGGTTCTGCACAGTGTGAGGGATCCAGGTACCAACTGGATTAACTGGATTCAAAGCTGAAAGCAAAGGTATCCCGTGCATGGGCAAACACAAGCTTCACCTCAACACTCTTCACTAYGTACCACAAGAAACATCACTTTAGCTATTCTATAGAATAAGGTGACTCTCTGTTTTGTTGGACAAGTCTTGTATTAGCACTTCAAGTTCGGATTGTTTTACCTTTTTTTTTGGAGGGGGGTCCGGGAGGGAGCGCGAGGACAATTTAAAAGTTAGACCAGAGTCTGGATTCTAGTAACTGCAGGAACGGTTACATGTCAACACTATCATGACTACATGGAAGCCTGACACGTTGCTTTGAAGTTTTGCTTCAAAAACACTGGAAGACTGCAAGATGCCTTGCAAATCCACATAAAATCCAACACTGCATAGCAGTGCATTGTATCAGTCCGACATATCCCACTCCCCCTGGTACCAGGAAGCATCTACAATAGCTATGCCTTAGTATCAAGGCTCCTCTTTCATGATCGTTAGAGAACAGAAAACGCATCAACTACTTTAAATAAAAGCCTCCATTTCAAGCTGTTCCTGATTTTCCACAAGGATGGCATTATCTACCACGTGGCTTCAGATTATTGTACGTATTGTGATCTCAAAACTCTTCCAAACTTTTCTGGAGGTTTATCATCTTATTTGTGATGGTAAAGTGACAACATTAGGAGTGCAACAGAGCCATCTCGACAGCTGCTGCTTTGTTCCAAGCCTGCCAAACACGTGGCAGTTTATTGTTGTAGTTTTGGTCCTGTGCAACAGGCTGCTGACAGATTAATTTATTTTTAAATTCTTAACGCTAAAAATAAATACACTTTTTTTCTTTTCTTTTTTTTTTTTTTTTTGGTAATGAGACATTTTTAAAGTAACTATGCCAAATACAGAAAATAAAAAAGGTTTGCACATTCATCTAGCAATTCCCTAGGGCATTCTAAATGCCCTGCACTTAAGTCCATCCATTTAGCCAACTGCTAAAGGAAGGATTAGCCAGAGGCATTTCACAAGGAGTCTTAAAAGTTGCCTCTGAATTGAAAACTAAGCTGGGGGAGCAAATCTGAAGTGGCGCTAATTCAACCTCTGAGTAATACTGCTAGTTTGGACCAATCCGTTAACACATCAGCAAAGTCCAAAAATCAAAGTTTTTGTTTGTGTGTTCGTTTGTGGGTTTTTTTTTTTTTTTCCTAATAGGGTCTATTGCCCATTGCAGCCAATTTTAAGCGCTAAGGGATTATTGATGCTGTGCAAGGGAACTTATTGCTCTCGAGACTCGTCCACCGCCTCAATGGGGCGCAAATACTGCGGTAACACGGTATCAGCTGCGGGGCCTTGCGATGTCACCCAAAGCAAAGGAAAAAAAAAAAAAGAAAAGAAAATAGGAGGGGAAAAAGGGAAGGGGGAAAAAAAGGCGCGCGTATCAGCGGCGGCCCCTCGCGATCTGACGCAGCAGCCCCGCGGCCCTGGGACCGGAGCCGCGGAGCCGCTGACAGTCGGCGCGGAGCAGTTAACAGCTTTAACGGCCGCCCGGCCGCTAACGGCTCCAACGGCCGCTCGCTGCCCGCCCCCCACGCGCGGCGCGGCGCGGGCCCCGGCGGCGGCG